TAAGTCTGGAATAGACTTAAACTTTTGAAAATGTCACCTAAATCATGTCAGTTCCCACATAAAAACTTGCAGAGTGGCTCCTTGTTAACTACTTACTAAAATCAGCTTCTCAGTTTTGGCACTTATGCATTTGATATTCTTTTTTTACCCAATTAAAGAAATGGGCAAAGGACTTTTATACATATTTTTCCAAAGAAGACATACAAATGGCCAATAAGCTGTTCAACATCATTGGCCATTAGAGAAATGCAAATCAAAACCATGATGAGATACCTTCATGTGCACTAGGGTGACTGTAATCTTAAAAATTGAAAATAACAAGCGTTGGTTAGGACATGGAGAAACTGGAACCTTCGTACACTGCTGTTGGGCATGTAAAATGGTGCCGTTATTGTGGAACACAGTTTGGTAGTTCCTCAATAAGTTAAGCATAGAACTACCCATTATAGGTCCCAGTAATTCCACTCCTCAGTATGCACCCTGCCGAACCCAAACAAAGGAGTCCTAAAAGTCTTTTGAACTGTCAATCACTTGGGTTATAACAATTAACAACAAACAGCTTCATTCTGTAGCCATTTAATGATGTTTGCCTTCTTAGGACAGTGAGCTCCCAGAGGTCACGTGCCATGTCCACTTTTCTGCAACCCTCCTGGCTCCTGAACATACTCTGAAGGTACTGAGACTATCTAGTGTTTACAGAGTTTTAGTAAATAAATAAACATTCTTGTTGACATTTCTGAGGTTTGGGATGTGTACTCTAAACATGAGAAATAACAAACATCGTCAAGAATTTTAAAATTTATTAGATACCTTCGTTCTTAGGAAGTTATTACACTCTTGCTCCACATTGTAATTTATAATACGAGATACCTCTTCCTGCCAAATCTTCAGACCATAAATGTTCACATAGTCCTGTATGTATTCAAAAGAACGATGGAATCCATCCATGGTCGCTCCCAACTCTTTCAGCTTGGGCATCAGTTCACTTGGCTGTGGAAAAGGCGAAACACAAGGCTCTTACACTGGAGTAGACTGTCAACTATTAATTCTAATATCTAATTAGACCTTAAATAGTATAGCAGGCCAGGTGCGGTGGCTCCCGCCTGTAACCCCAGCACTTTGGGAGGCTGAGGCAGGGAGATCACTTGAGGTCAGGAGTTCAAGACCAGCCTGGCCAACGTGGCGAAACCCCGACTCTACTAAAAAAAATATAAAAATTAGCCAGGTGTGGTGCGCACCTGTAATCCCAGCTACTTGGGAGGCTGAGGCAGGGGAATTGCTTGAACCTGGGAGGCGGAGGCTGCAGTGAGCTGAGACTCTGCCACTGCACTCCAGCCTGGGGGACAGAGTGAGACTTAATCGTAAAAAAATAAAAAATAGGCTGGGCTCATGCCTGTAATCTCTGCACTTTGGGAGGCTGAGATGGGTGGATCACTTGAGGTCAGGAGTTTAAGACCAGCCTGGCCAACGTGGTGAAACCCCATCAAAAATACAAAAATTAGCCAGGTATGATGGTAGGTGCCTATAATCCCAGCTACTCGGGAGGCTGAGGCACGAGAATCGCTTGAACCCAGGAGGCGGAGGTTGCAGTGAATCGAGATCGTGCCAATGCACTCCAGCCTGGGAGACATAGCAAGACTTTGTCTCAATAAATAAATAAATACAGAGCAAGACTTTGTCTCAATAAATAAATAAATAAATAAATAAATAAACAGTACAGCAGCTAAGAGATCAGAGTCATGGTTTCAGAGATACTTTAAGTTTTGGAAATACTCATTTTCTACTTCATCTAGGATGACTGACAACTGATGTCAGACATTCAGCAAAGAAATTATTTCATTCATTTGGGAAGGAAGCCTCATATAAAGAAAGAAATAAATGAAAGACTATGATTTCTCTGTCATTTAATACATGTATCTAGTCTC